CGTTTGACCAATCTGAACCCTCTCCAAAACTAATCCGAGCTCTCCGAATGTGGCACGTCGAGGTGGGCGGCGGCTGGGCTTGCACAGTACGTGTCCAAGCCATATCTGTCGACCAGGTTCACTATTTTATCAGTAGAGCTACCTGTCTTCCCTAGTACCCTTTGCCTGACTTCAATACTGCTCACATGGTGATTCTACCAGGCGCGAGCAATGCTAAGAAGAAACCTATGATCAAAACCCTGTAACCGCTTCATGTCTTTACCTTTAACGGCCATGTTTCACAGCCGTATAACAGGAGAGAACGAATTGCTGCACAATATTCTCATCCTTCTATAGGTGGTCGAATATCTCGCCGTGGCGCCACAGATGGCGCTGGTTGGCAAATGCCAAACAGGCCTTCAGTATTGGAGCTGAGATTTCATCATCAGCTAGCGCGTGTGGGGAGACACAGCTCTCCAAGTAATTGAAGTAGTCGACACATTCCACCACTTCACTTTCTACCATTAAACTGGGAGTACTTGCAGCAGGGCAGTCCTGGAGTATCGTCTTACATCTGACAGGTGCCAGCGAAACGCATGCCAAACATACTCAGATTTCTGTCCAGCGTGTCTAGAAGACCCTGCATTTTGTCAGCGTCTTCACCTAGCGGGACAGTATCGTCTGCATACTTCAAATAAACCAGATACCCCCCAGGGAGTAGGTCAATCCCCGTAAAATCAAGCGTACTTAAGGTTATGTCCATGAATACGCCTATGGCGAGGTTACTTGGTGACAGTGGATATTCCTGGTGAACACCACCAGTTGTCGTCAGTTCACATGACAACTCTCCATAATCCCTTACACCGTTGCTCGAGTTCAAGTAGAGAGCCTTGGTGAGCACTATATGCTTGCTCGGTACTCCCTTCACTGCTACTACCTCTCGATAGACAGAGTCAAATTCCGCCTTCAGGTCAATAGTTATGGCAAATATCGACATCCGGTAAGTATGTCTTTGTCATCGTTATCTGAGTCTGCTGGTATGTTTCTTCTAGTATAATCACTTCGGATGACGTCGCGGAAATCCAGTGGTTTGCTAACCTTCAGGTGTAGTTTGCTGACTATCTTTATCACTGTTTTTACAGCAGACTTAATATCACACCAAGTTTCCTCAGGATAAACACTGCTGTCACCTTCACATAAGTACTTTGTTAACTCTTCTCTAAATGCATACTTGGCGTCCTCATCTTCCTATCGAGAACAAATAGACTTCACTGCCTCTTGTTTCCTGCGGCCAGTAAGGCGTAGACATTTACGAGCTCGTACTAACACGTGATTGGAGTCTACTCTGGTATTCCAGAGGAGCAATCCTCTACCGATCCTCTCTAACGATGGCTTATGGTAATACGATCTATCTGTGTCCATCGTTAGTTTGAAGTCAGTGGACGCCATGCGAAACAGTGTCTCTCCTTACGCCTTAAGTTAGGGGTGGTCAGAGACAAATGATTGTCAGGACAAAATTGCAACAGAAATCACCGTTGTTGGTTTGTTGGCGTGGGATTCTGTGAATACCTCCAAGATATCTTTCCGATTGGCTCAGCTTCCCTATTTGATCGTTAAAGTCATCTGCCATTACTACATCTGAACGTTTTGCTTTCTTTAACAAAGTTGACAACTTTTCATAGAATTGATCCTTTGCATCATCCGGACTGCAGTTAGCGGGTGCGTAGGTGGCATCACCTAGTTTCATGAACCTCTTGGTTCTCAAAGATTCATTCAGTCGAACAGCACGTAGATGGATGTTTACTGGTATCCAGTTGAGAAGTGCACTTTCTGCCTTACAGCTCGATACTATGCCTGCACCAGCGAATCCACGAAAGCTAGCCACTAGGTCTTGGGATGCTCGTAAGATGAATTTGGAAGGTTCACCGCACTGTTCAGGTGAGATCAATTTAATAACCACACTCGGGTCCTGTAAACGTGTCTCAGAGACTGAGCATACATCGATGGTAAGCGATCCCAGAGTTCTTGCGAGCGATGCTTGCCGTCTGGTTTGGCGTGAGATCTCCTTTATGCAAACGATGATTGGGTCTTAGGAAACTAGGGATAAGGTTTCGTTGGCTTTGATTGTTGGCAGGGGTTGCAGAGTGAGAGGTTGGGAAAGGTGTTATAGACTCAATATTAATATTAGAAGGTGAAAGCAAAGGGACTCAGAGTTGAGACGGATAGGTTATGTTTGAATGGGTCTTGTGTACTACTGAAAGCGTGCGGCAGTTGACATCCCAGCTTCCCACACCGTAGAAGGCTTGTTAATCTTAGCGTACCCGAAAATGAAGGGATAGTGGGTAAGCACAGACATTTACCTGATGCTTCACATATGGCCTTTTGGCAAGTTTGAAATTTTGGGTTTTTGCTTTGGAATCTGACTATCAATCCCTGTGGCAGGCGTCGGCATGCCGCAAGGGTTGGGAGTGTGCTATTTTCATGGCCAACTTTTTCTAGCTCCCCTTCCCGTAGGGTGTGTGCAAAAAGATGGCATGAGAAATAAATGTCTTCTATTCGGTCGAAATAATCATCAAGATTCTGCATAAACCTATCTATAACTCACAGCTGCTTAGAATGTCCGCACAGACGTCTAGAAGCTTGATTGACTTACCCGAGGTCCTTTGGTAGTCACCGAAGGACGGCAAAATTCTGTAGTTCTACCATAACCTCTTTCTCACTGTAAGCAGGTTTTTCTTACTAATTAAAACACTTTTCAACATCTGTGCGTACATGCACTTGCTCTACCACATAAAAGCTGCGCCATCAACAATTCGATGGTCTTTATACTTTATTTCCACTCTACTTGAGATATATCAGCTTTATTTCCTCACTTCACACTTTTTGAGCACCCTTCCCCCTATTTACTTGGTACTCGCAACAATTCAGGCTTAGCTCCGCACCACTTTCATTACGCTGTCTCAGTCTATGCACTACGCTAACGTAATTTATGTAACAGCTTAACATAGTATGTACATTTGTTCAGTGGTTTCTTCATTTCATTAAAAAAATGCACCCCAACTCTGCACTTACCATTCTGCCTAGACTACTAGTTCCCTTGAGATTGAGGTCAACTGTGATAAGCATATTGTTTTATCCCGAACCATAACATTAAACGTTTGCAGTAGTACACAAGACCCAATCACACATAACATGACAGTAAACAGAAACAGGTATTCACATCATGCACGCAACAATTAGGTAGAAAAGGTGGCATACACTACAAGGGAATCGAGATTTATGTAGAAATCTTAACAAGCTTCAAGGTGTTTTCTTAGTCACTCTGTCTTCATATAGGTATTCAGGTTCGTGAATGACATTCAGTTAAGGTATCCGTATCACACTTTGTTGATACGCATTTTCTTAAAATTTATCATACAACATTCTGCAACCGAACTTATAACTGACCATATGCATCTGTTCAATGCGTGTCGACAACTCTAATTGGAAAGAGAAAAAAACTGAAATAGAGAGTTTGTAACATGTACATATCCTTTTTCAGTGCATGCAGACTGCCTACCTTTTCTCTGTCCCATTTCATGACTTTGTCACGGAAGTTGTCGGATTATGGCTTTCTTTCCGAATCCATAATAGCAGTATTGTCTGGTCCTAGGTTGATCTGGATGGATGGCCATAATGCCATCTACTTCCTTTTTTAACAGTTGAGGTCCACCGAATTCCGATATAAATGGACCTGTAGAAATTATAATTTATGCATAGAATCTTTCATCTGATGGCTTTGTAGTAGGGAGTTCTTACATGCCAAATTTTTTGTGTTCTCAGTATAACATATTACAAACCCCAGAGTGAAGCCTATAGCAGTACGCAATATAAATGAAAGTCATTTTGACTGAGGTAGCCGTGGTTTGTGTTATGATGCGGAGTTGTGAGAACGGACGGAAATACTCAACGATTGGTAGTCGAGGGTTGAGACAATGTAACCCGAGTGATTCTCAAAGAGAAACCAAAAGACTGGAAACCAGATGAGTTTATTGTATCTCGGACTGAAGCGTTTATGAGTAAATACTGAACCTATTTATAGAGTTTACAATAACCTTGGAAGACAAGAAATCATTAGTACATTTAAAGAGGGAGGAGCCAATCAGAACAATAGCAGGTCGTATGAAATATGACCCATGTGTGGGAAAAGAGCGCGCATAAACAGTTCACATATGTACATAACTGTAAGTGTGGAATATAAAGGATATCGGCATCCATAACAGTTTGGCAGACTAGTATTTATGCTGGGTAATGACTGAAGGTGAAATTAGAATTTGGACTGCGGCTCAACGTCGCACCACTCTAACTCCAGAAGAAAGTTTGTTACTGTAGTGACTTGAATTTCCGGTACATAGTAGATGAATTGATCTCATAGTTTATTGCTGTCCCTCATTTTAACCATTCTAAACAACTTCGAATATCTTCGATTCTGATTAGTTTTATTTCTTATGGGAGCTGTATCAAGGCGTTTAGTAGTGGCTATCGTTAGAATGTTTAGTTTTATAAACCCTTTTATGAGAAAGAGATATTACCTATGTTAGCAGTTGATATAAAGAACGATTAGAGAAGAATTATCACATCAACCTTTCCTTCATGTGGTGATGTTCTGCCTTGGTTTATTTCGAACTTCCGTTCATGAAATGTGGAAGTAATCGAAAATTATGTAACTAATTTACTGTATATTCCAAGGCTATGGGAAATCTTTCTACAGATACCTACCTAATTTCCTATTCCTGTATGATTTATCTCATTTGATGTAATGTATGGCTCGCTTAGAGTGTAAATCAGTGCTACTGATAGCTATATATAAGTTTTATAATACCTTCACTAAAGTTTGAAACTATCAAGCATGGCACTGAAATAATTCAAATGTAGTTTTCTTTATTTGTAGTAGATAATTATTCGCATAAATAAATTCTGCGCTCAAGTGTATGCCAGTCATATTACAGCAGCATAACAATGAAGTACTTTTTGTCTTTTCCAGGTTAATTAATCAGTTATGTCTACTGATTTTGTGACGTGTTCCAACAATGCCGAATCAAATAACTCTGTTCCAGAAACCGATAATGAGGTTTTAGAAGCAGACCTGGAAGAGAAACAGCGCTTAATCAATCAAGTAAGCTCTAATTTATGTTTTTTTGTTTTGAGATTTATGGTAAATTCACCAAACTGGAGTTTCGTAAGAATGATTAAGTTCTTCACTTGTCCTATAGATCTTTTCTATTCATACTGTCAGCTGATCATATGGTCTCTTGGTAAGGGATTAGCTTCTAGGACATATACATTAGCAACATAAAATCTGACATTATTGTATCAACGCATTCAGATAGAAGGTTACACGAAAGAAGCCAACGAAATGAAAATATAACTATCAAAAGTCGTCGGAAGATATATGGCAGGAAGAAGAAGAAAGGAGTAATACTTATTGTTACGAACTAGAGGGAAATAGATCATGAAGCCTTTTACACCACTGGAAAGTATTCGAAGTCATGACAATATAATATCCCTAAAACGGTGAACGATACGAAACGCACTCAGAAGATTTGTGCAGTAAGCAATGGGTCATACGTATTATGTAGTGGTTGTGCTAAAAGATTTTCACTGAACTACATTTCTTTTTTCAAGCTCTATGTTTAATAGGTTTCAACAACTGACAGTTGTATTGTAGCGCCAAGAGATTTTCAATCACCTTTACGGTCCCCCTTTTTTAATAATTCCAGGGATTTAATTAACTGCTTTCGTTTCTGTTTTTTTTTGGGGGGGGGGGGGAGGATTGTCGGTAAGATACTGGTACATCATTTGGCCCGGACAAAGCTATAGACATTAATTGGCTATTCAATATCTTCAGTTTCGGGTTATTTACAGTTTTCGCCATTGCATGATGGGCATATGCATATAGTTGCCTTCGTAATATAGGACGTATTCCGTGGTGTCACCATGTGAGTAATGCAGAAGTTAGGTGTAGAGTTTTGGGGAGAAGAGGTAAGTCAGTTGACGAGGTTGTGAACCTTCATCGACTGAGATGGTTGGGACACGTACTACGTATGCCTAGTCACCGATTGCCTCGTCACACAATGTTGGCTGAGGTGGGTCCAGGCTGGAAAAAGGCCCGAGGTGGCCAGACTAAAACATGGCACCAATGCATGAAGTATTTGACTGTTGGTTAGAGCCATGTAGGACGATGCAGACTAGGTGGTTGGGGTCCACGGGACAAGAGGAACCAGTGGTTGGAGACTCTAGGTGATATGGCTCAGAACCGAAGTCAGTGGCGCAGATGTATACACACATTATCCTCATCTTAACAACGCTATACCGAATCTCACTATTTTGTCACTCCTCTTTCTTTTCTTTTCGTACTTTATTTTCTTTTGACTGCATTCACTTATCTTCATCCTTCACCTCACTACCTTTTTACTTGATGTGCTGATATGAGGTGTGGCAAGTTGGACCGTTACGCAGTAATGCCTGGTCCTATGTTGATAATGATGATGATGATGATATGCATATAGTATCAGGTTACATTAAAGTTAACTGTTACAATGATTGGATCGGTCAAGCCATTCAAACTTCGCAAAGCAAAGACTATATTGAAACGTTTCTATGTTTCGTTTAGTAGTAGATCGTAGTAATCTCCGCCGAAAGAAGAGGTCGATTGAGTTATAGAAAAGGGAGAATCTAGCCCAAATGGCTTAAGATTTTTACTATCAAGCAGTAGGTTTAGGACTGTAAGCCCACTCCACCCGCTTCGGTCTGGGAAACCGGTTTGTATCAGAAGATCTCACACATTAAGTATAACTCATAAGATATTACAAGCTGTACGGAAGTTGAGCAGCATTTTGCATATATTCAAACGTTTGTGATGATTTGCTTTTCTACCGAGTCATTTTGAAATAGTTTAATTAGATAGTACAGTATCCAAGTAGTTATTGACTGGGGTCCATTCGAGAAGTGTTGTTTCTGGATGCATCTAGATGTTCACGACTTACTGGTCATTAAATCTTCTAGCACTTTCAGGGTGAATCGTAAGGAGTCATTATATTGGCAGTTTAAAGTTAGATTAATAAATCGCACTTGGCTCTTGTAGATGTCTTGAAAATCTAACACCTGTAGGACTCCAGAATTGGAGACAGTACAGTTCTAGGAAGCTGAGATTGTTTTTTCGTGAATGCAAATCATGAGCAATGGTTGAGTGAATAAGTTGACCATGAAAAACTATTTTTCTGAAAGGAGAATGAAGAATGAAGCAGTTGATAATAGAGATCACTGTATGCAGAAGACATTATTTATGTATGTCCGAGTGGGACGGGGTTTGATCCCATGCTCTTTTGCTTGGATTGGAAGTCCAGTCCTGAAGCCTATGACCCCTCACATATTGTGTTTTGTTACATAATGCTTGCTGTACCGGTTTGATTTGCATTGATATTTTTATAGAGCTGAATCATTGCAAGACAAAAGCTGTTTTCCGGAATGTGTCAACACCCCTGACCCCTAGATCATTAACTCTCACCTCAAGACAAGGGTGTTCATCATGATTTTGTATGCATTCAGTTTTGTCTGTATAGTATTGCTTAAATTCAGTGATAACAGTATACAAGTGATGGTGATCTGTCTCACTTCGTGTTTAATGGTATTCATTTATCCATGAAAGAAATCCTACGGGTTCCACGACTTAAACTTGTTGTTTTTTGATGCATATCATCCTGAGTACTGTTTTGTGACAATAAGATAAGCTTGAAGAAGTGGATTGGTAGTTAGCTCATGGGATGACATCATAAAATGAGAAATATTTTCGACAGTTTAGCATCTTTCAGTTCATTTTAATTCAATGGTTAGTAATCCAGATGTCATGTCATTCAGTGGTGCTACCCAGTTGTAGTTTTATGTCTGTTACACAAGCAGTAAAGTAAACTTGACCATTCGAAGTAAATAATAATCATTATTATCAATTTATTACTGACAATATGGTTGATATAGCATGTCACATTTCGACCAATTTACTCCCTGTACAGTATTATAAGGCAATGAAGCATATAACTAGCTGGTACTGTTAGATTATCTTGTCTAAAAGACGGAATGTATAGAAAACTGTACTTAAGTGTGGTAGTAACGGTGGTTCATTCAGCTGGTGTGAAAATTTGAAATTTGAGCTAACTGTTATGAGAATAGTTTAGTGATGGATGTGCCGTTGGGCGCTTATAAGCTCATTGTTATCTCCCACAACATCTTTATTTTATTATTAAATTGCAAAACGGCTGATTGGAAACATTTTAAAAACACACAAAGGTACATAATATGATTTAAAGAAGATAAAAGGGGAACAATTTGGTGTAGTATGCTCGGTGATAGTTTAGGTTTCAAGTAGGCAGTTGGTGCAGTTGATAGATTATTTCCTGGTTGTATTCTTATTTGGACTCAGTCAATTTTCATGCATTGTATATTATTACATTGTAATGAAAACACTGTTCGGAACAGAGCTTATGTATTCACAAGGTAGAGGTTAAACTAGTCAAGAAAAAGTATATTCAACGAAACAGATAAATGTGGAAAATTTTTCTGTTAATTATAAATGGAACATTTAAAGGATAACTGAACGACATCTATTTGTAATTGTAATTATTCAGGGTAGTCATTAAATATCTTTCGTCTTCTGTACAAACTAGACTGATGTTAAATGCCCGTCAGTCGAAAGTCAGTTTACCGACTAAAGAATGCTTTACAGTGACTAACCTGAGTACGAACACTACATTTAAGTGTTTAAAGAAAATTGGCAGAAAGTCTTGGATCTGCGTTTCAGCTGACAGTTTATATTCATCATTGGCAGACATCAGTTGAAGAAACGCTGGATACCCTGGAGCACTGGACAGTTTTTGTCCTAGTATGAGATTCCTCAACAGTGGACTAACAGAAGGATGAAATATGTACCATTGGATGCCTACCCAGTGGCTCAGTGGATGCGGAACCTGAAGGTCCTGGGTTGATCCCTGGCGGTGCGGGATCATGAGTGCGCACTGTTGGTGAGTCCCGAACTAGCTTGAAACAGTTATTCAATACACCTAGGTTTCCAATGTTTCTCCAACTGATGTCAGTCGATAATGAATACCAACATTTCAGAAGTCAGCGAGTGGAAACACAAAAGTAGTAATGTGGCCAGTTACAAAGCGTCATAAAACAAAGAGGAGAAAAGATAAGGGGAATAAAAGTACTTGACAACAAGATTTTCTTGGGGTCAAAGTGTTCATACTTCTGTTCCACTGTGATAACTTTTAAGTCTTAGCTCCGGAAGTTTTCAACCATCTCAATAGATGGTTTCTTCGCGGATCCCAACTACGGGGCGTATAATTTCTTATATGGAGACTATATTTTTCCTCTTGATGATACTCACTTATCCTCTGAGATGCCAAACGTCTTTGGCGACGCGAATTGACTGCGAAACGGTCCAAGTTATCACACGTCGCATCGTTGTATTATAGTGGAAGAGAGCAATATGAAAGATAGAGAAATCTGAAAGAAAGTAATTATAAGTAGTGAACTGTTATATGGAGAGAGAAAGAGGGGATAAAGCAATAACTGTGATATTGTGGTTAAGACAAAGATAATGTGTGGATGCCTCTGGGCAACAGATCAATTCTGAGCCTTATCATCATCAGCGAATTCGGCTATCATGCGGATCTAATTTGGGAAGTTTGGATTTCCTACGGATTCTAGACTGGCTGTCAGAGATTTGATGAACTTCAGTCACGTTTTAGTTTGATCATCTTTGACCTTTCCTGATCCGTACTTCAGCTAATACTACACAAGCGAGTGGAAGACTTACATTCCACGACACAGCCCATGGTTCGGAGAAAGCGAGGATCGAACACGTTAAGCTTTCTCTTGTCTTTCGTCATATAGTAGAGACAGATCAGTCTATTGCCCAGTAAATTCAACTCTTAGTAGGGAGTTAAGGTTCTTATGGGTGGTGTAAGTTGGCATAAGCAGTAGAATTGTTTGTATTCGTGCAGAGAACTCGTCAAATCGTATCTCTAAAGTGATAGTCAAATACTTATTGTTGATTAAGAAAAACGATGTTGAGGAAAGTGAAATAACCGAATATAGTCAGTTCACTTGTTTACTTGAGATTACTTTCATATTAGGTTTAAAAGAAACAGGTGTAATATCATTAATTTAAAAAGAATATTTGCCTTTCTAAAATGTCTTTGTAATATTTGTAAGATGATGAAGTAGTAGAGAAGTTTATAACTCAGGTGGTGTTTGCATTCTCTAAGATCTGTGGTTTGATCGTGATTAGACAATCCAATATAAACAAGATTTTTATAGTGTTGTGGTAATGTGTACTCTATATTTATCTGATATTGTTTTTATGTTTGTTTGTTTTTCAATGCCTACTCACATAAATGAATACAGATTTTAGAGCTTCAACATACACTTGAAGATTTATCGACACGAGTTGATGCTGTGAAAGAGGAGAATTTAAAATTACGTTCAGAAAATCAAATACTCGGTCAGTATATTGAAAATATGATGGCCAATTCATCTGTTTTCCAGTCAACATCTCCACCTACAGATGGGAATAGATCACGTGCGAATAATAATAATAATAATAATAATAATAATAATAGTGATTAGTTGAGAGATGATTAGAAAAATAAATAATTAAATAAAAATGAAGAAATTATTCAATATATATATATATATATATATATATATATATATATATATATATATATATTCTGTCTTCCTCTGTTTCACTTATCAAGACTTGCTAATATGTATCATTAACTAAAGCTTACGTCATTATAACATTGATAATAATAATAATAATAATAATAATAATAATAATGGTGGTGATAATAAAATTTAATTTGAATATTCTTTTCTCTGTTTCTGAGTATGCTTATTTTTCATTTCGAAAATGATCACATTTGAATTATTCCTTTCATTGTGTATATTAACTTAATTCTGTTATACTAGAAAGAAGCATTGTTCTTTCCTCTTTTCTTTTCATTGTGTATTTTTTATTTTGTCGTACATTACTTTTTCTTCGTTTAAAGTTGATGCTTTTGTTTTTGTTTATTTTCTGTTTGCATTTAGATGTGAGAAAATAAAATTTATTTGGTGTTAGTTTTATTGACCTGAAACTTATTAGTCTAAACTCTGTAATTTCTCATTTTTTGTTTCCATTTTGGCGGATCCGTTTTGATAGAGTCATCAATAGGATGTATTTGCGCCTGAATAACTTTTTAGACTTGAAAACATTATCCATTGCACTATTCATTACCTAGAGGTACCTAGATGGTAAGTTGGAGGTCTTATGAGAATGCTAGACAGCACTAGGATGCAGGCATGTCCGTCTTACAAATTCGGTGTAATATATCATGTTGCTCACTGCTGACTATAACTTCACAGATAACGTCAGTGTAATGCTAATATCTGCATTCTGACACCTATGAAGTTTTATCACAATTATTGCTTTCACATGTTATACATCAGAAGAGTTAATATGAGTGTTTTTTATCGATCAGTGATCATATTCCTATAGTAGCTAACCTATTTGTAAGTAAACTCGAAGAAAGTTTCTTTATTCACTAAAGCCAAAAATTGGACTGAGAAAGGTTGGTGACACATTCGTAATTTTAAGATGTGACTTATATCAGGCATTCTTACATCAGCTGAACTCTAGATCTTCCAGTATCAAGTTCAGATCAGAAAAAGAAACTGGATAAAGGGGGAACTACCTTTGCTTGCTTGTCTTGTTAAGCGGAAGGAAAATGGACATTTAGGTATAACCATTTCCAGGAAAGCAACACATTCGAACCAGTACTCAGATTTCAAATTATCACATCCAGTTAGTACGAAAGTTTCTGTTCCCTCCAGTCTCTTAAGGAAAGCAGACACCCTAGTAAGGGATGAAAATGAAACAGCTAAGGAATTAAAATATGTGAACAAGATACTTAAAATGAATAATTACCCGGTAAAATTCATTCGCAACATAGAAAATAACATTAAATTAGGTCGTAAATCTACACCTAAATTATGGGCCTCAACAATAGTTATCCTATACAAATCGCAGACATTGGATGAAATTAGGAGTGTAATTAACAAATACCATATGAAAGTGTTCTACAGAACATCAAATACATTGCAGAGCACCCTAGTTTATTTGGAGGATGAAATCCCTCTACATTCACAATCTAATTATGTTTATAAAGCAATATACTCAGACTGTGATACAATATTCATAGGAAAAACTTCCCGTGAAATCAAAATTAAGAAAAATGAACAACGAAGAGCTTCCACCTGATCCCTTTGAAATCCAGTGGAACTGTAAAAACTTGGAAACACACCAATCATAGCTCTACATGCTACAATTTCAGGTCACAAGGTTGACTTTGATGAAATATCGGAATTATTCAGAAAGGCTTTAGAAATTATATAGAACGTCTCATAGTAGAGTCTTTTCACATTAAGTGGAATCATAATTGTCTAAATGTGAAGGAATAAGGGAGTAAAACATAGTTTGATCTACTGTCAACCCACCCCTACATACTGACATAACCAATATACATGGAGGCGATAAGAACCATCAACACATGTGTACGTACAAATTTCAATGTGTAATTCACACATACTACATATGGATATCATCTTTAATCTAGTGACGTAGAAGAATATTTGTCAAGTTATCATGTTATAGGCTTGTGGAATATTGTCAATTCCAGTTTAGTATAACTTTGATGAACCCATTATCACTAAGTAGTGAAATATCACTTGAAACCAATTTGTTTTGTTTTACATTCTCACTGGGAGATAAAAGTACCAAAATAATGAATATCATTTACCCAATGCCCAAATTTTTTCGAATTATTAAATTCCAACTTGGTTTGATTATCTATGAAGGCGTATAATGTATTATAGAATTTCCAGAAGGTAATATTTCAATAAATACGCTCCATGTACTTTATTTCTCAAGAAAATAATTATTCCATCTGAATAGTATTAATAATAACGGTATTAAAGACGCTAATATTAAACGGGTAGTTGGTGTTATATTAGCCTATCGTCTGAACTTGGGGATGCATACAAAATAGAGTGTACTTATGGTGGTAGTTTTCAGTTTGCCAGTAGAAAAATCTGCAATTCAATGTAGATACCCTAAAAATAGTACTATACAGTATTATTTCGCGTATATATGTTCATTTTCACCCAACGTGGCGTTTTTTTTTTTTATTTCATTCTTAGCTTGAAAAATGACAGTTTGAAAACCTCTTAAAAAGGTGCTAGAGTACATAATACATTTAGGAGACATGTTTAAAAGATTAAAACAAACAGAATGAAAAGAATTAAGTGGAAAATATTTTTTTGGTAGCTTAAGGTTTAAGCAGGCCACTGTGCTTTGTAGATAATATGGGTGTGTACACTGGCTTAAACGGTACCCCGATTTCGTTAATTAGGCTCAGTGAAACTTTTACACTATTGGTATATTCCGTATTGCAAATATTTTATTATTGTGCACATTAACTCTGTTTTTCGAAGTAAATACTTTTTCATTACAATATTTGTTAAATACTAACAAAAACAAATTAAAAACACTTCGAAAATATCAAAGCAAGAAAGTTTTTGTTATCCATTTGGCTTATTTTTGGTACATGTCTGGTTTCTCTTTTTTTTCCATACTAATATTCTTCAGTTCTGTTATTGGATAACATAAGAAATACACTAAAAATTGGATTCAATTGCTTCTCGACGGCGTCATTCGGATCGTTCTGCGGTCCTTTTTGCACCAACTTCCCTCTTGTACATTCCTTTATAGATTAAGGATCAATAGGGAAATGTAGACAAAGGCATCGGGTCATCTACCAACACTGCGAGAAGGATTGTATCAAGACGTGAAGTTTTATTTCTCTTTAGGTGTGCACAGTTGCATTCACTTCGGAGATCCACACGTCACCTACTCCACCGCCAATGTGGAAAGGTGTTGTGTATCCGCCTCGCAGTTGCCTCTTATGGTCGAAGGTTGCCGGTATCCCAACGACCTTCTAGGAAGGGATATAACCTGTATTGCACCTTACTGGCACCAAAATGAAACCACGACCAAAATAAGTAAGTTAAAGAAAGTCAACTAAATATTAACTAAATAAACTAGCTCATCGGATACTTAGGGTGTTTTTGTTTTAACGAGTATGCATCCGAGCAGGTTTTGATGCTATTTTGCTCTCTCTTTGTGGTAGTTAACACGCACATCCTCAAATTCCGTAGCTCAGTCATGTTAGTCAGCTAAGTTGGATAAACTTTTTCCCTAAAAAACTATCTTCATTTTTATTTATATTACTCTTTCTAGCGGATTCCTAAATAACGCTTTCTTTTTGAGTTGTTTCGTTATTAGTACTTACACGGTAGGTAAGTTACTGATTAATCAAGTACTAGAGCATATCGAAGTTAGTAAGCCTGGTTAAGTGTTGCGTAGTAGCAGCACATTCAGCCTCTTACAACTGTATCATCTCCTTTGAAGTCGAAGTGAATAAAGACTAGCTTCATCCTGACTATTATTTTCTGCATTTTTACTGTATTCTCTTCTACCACGTTGATGAAGCCTTGTGGTATCCGATTTCTTTAAAATACTCCTCGACAAGCGATAATTTTTTTACAAGTTTATACTGTGAGGATATTCTTCGTGCTCTATGGAGTAGCTTCTTAACCAGTGCTCGTTTGTGCTTGACTCGACAGAAACTGTTGAAATTACGGTAAAACCTATTCCATGTACCTTTAAGATGGATAGATCTTTGGTGTGTACCATAAGTGCTACATCGGTTACTGGCATCCAGAAAGCCGAATTTATCACTGTCTTCATTTTCCACTATTGAAGGTTTTAAGTAGATGTGATATGTGGGTTAAATACTTAGATACAACTCAAGAAGCTTCTAATATGCATGGAAAATGTCTGGTTCCATTTTGACGATATCCTATGCAGTCAGTTTGACTAAGTGTTAATGTGAAGTCTATTAGGCCCTACATTGTCAGATATTTCATGCCTAATGCTGAGCTGACAAAGCTGGAATTCCCAACTGGTGAAACAATGGCCTACATACGTTGACGAAACTTAAATAGGAATTATCGCTTGTCGAGTAGTATTTTAAAGAAATGGCTACCCACAAAGCTTCATCAACAAATATAGTAGAGGGGAATGCAGTAAAACTAAGAAAATCACCATCAGGATGGATGCATTCTTGATTCACCCCGACTTCAAGGAAATGATACAGCGATGAGGGAAAAACCGAAACTTCATACTGCGCTGGCTGGAAAATATCCCAAGCAAATTTAGTCATGGGCATACACTAAAATGGCCGACTGGGGACCACGCGTCAGGCCCTCGAGTGGAACCCCTATGGGAAGCGACGAGTTGGGCGTCCGAGGGTGACATGGAGGAGATCGTTCGAGGAGGAAATGAGAGCTTCTGGGCTGTCTTGGAGACAGGTTCGAAAGATTTCAGAGAACAGAGCTCATTGGAGACGTGCTACTGAAACCCTATGTTCCATTAGGAACCAAAGGGACAAATAATAATAATAATATAAGTTGGCCATCCTGTTTGGTACTTCTTGTTAGCTAG